AACCTCATTACCTACCACGGCTGGATGTCAGCATGTGTGGAGTGGCTGTTTGCCAGCATCTTAATTAATGAATTCATAAGGCGCAGGGTAGATGCCAGTTCTTGAAAAATGCTTTCAGCCTTTCAGCGATGAAGAAGCTTTTCCTAATTTATCAAAAAATATATTTGGGGGAAGAAGAGAAAACAAATTCCAAACAACATCCTGGCCAGGGACAGATGAGGGCTGCAGGCGCGTCTCTCCTCGCAGCTGCTCGGCACACGAAGGTCTCGGGGTATCTCAGGGCTGCGTGGGCTTCAGCAGGGCCCCTCGCGTCCCTGACCCAGGGCCAGGGTGACTGTCCAGAGAAACAAGCCCCTGTGCACTCTGCTTCTCCTGAAAATTGCTCATTGATTAAAAATTGGAAAGGTTGCCCATGTTCATCGCTCGGCCCCGGAGAGGAGCTTCTCACAGGGCCTGGTTTGAGGAGCCACGGGTGGAGGTTTTTCTGCCCCCACAGAGCCCTGGGAGCCTCCTCATAGAAAAACGCCCCTGGAGTAGTGCCAGAGTAACCAGCCCTTTGGGGTGGAAGCCACTTACCAGGAAAATTGAGGCCCATGACCCCATGTGACTTGGCTGTGTGGCCTGAGGGCCTCAGATGGAACGCCCCAGTGCTCTTGCCAGAGACCATCTGGGCAGGCGGTGCGGCTCCTTTGCCCGCTAGAATAATCTCCCGGCCTCCCGGGCTGAACGTGGTGGATCTCCAGAAACCCAGCCCCAGGCTGCGGGGGCTGGAGCTGGAGCTGGGACAGCTGACCCCACTCTCAGCTGTGAATTAACACGTGAAAGGAAAGACTTTGATGCCTATTGGGGAGGAAGGGCACATCAGGCCCACTAGCCCACCTTTTCCTTCTCCAAACTGGGTCTGGTTGATTGGTTTGTTTGTTTGTTTCAAATATATTTTATTGATTTTAAGGGAGGGGGATAGAGAGTCAGAAACATCAATGAGAAACATCGATCAGCTGCCTCCTACACACCCCCTATTGGGGATGTGCCTGCAACCAAGGTACACAACACACCCTTGACTGGAATCGAAGCCGGGACCTTTCAGTCCTCAGGCCAACACTCTATCCACTGAGCCAAACCGGCTAGGGCAATTGTTTTGTTTTCAAATTGAATTGGGTGGCATTGGCTAAAAAAAAACCATATAGGTTTCAATTGTACAACTCAAAAAAACCATATAGGTTTCAAGTGTACAACTCAGTAAAACATCATCTGCACAATGGAAAGGGAGTGGGAGAGGTGGAAGTGAGCAAGCTGTGTCTGTTTTTGTGTGTCTGGGAAGGTGCTTTGGCAGTTTACACAGTCTCGGGGAAGGTGCCTGGGGTGTTGCAGCCGGGAGTTGGAGGGTAATTGCCTTCATGAGGACAGATGCTCCGCTCCTGTCTCACTGTCTCCAAGCAAATGGATTTCAGTCAGGTTCTTCCCTCACAGAGCATATCTGTTACGTGGACAGACACCGGCAAAGCCCTGGACACGTTTACTCAGAATAGAGAACCTGTTGGAGCCAGATCGCAAGCTTAGACAGACTTGGACCAGGACGTAGAATGATTTCCATGAGCCCTTCTTTGTCATGAATGTTTTCACAAGGGGTTTTAAAGAAGGAGCATGCGCTCTGGAGCAGAAAAACACAGATTCCCGCCCCCGCTTCTACCACTTCCCAATCACATAACCTTGGGCTGGTTGCTTAAAATCTCTGTGCCGGGTGTTTGCTTCTCTCTAAAATGGGGCTGTCCCTTCCTTGTAGAGTTGATGTTGACCTTGGGTAGCATATATGAAGCTGCCCACCAACTGTCTAGCCCAGGGTGTAAGGAGGGAGGTTGCACCAGGAGCGAAGAGTGCTCAGGGCCGGTGGCTTAGGGCTTTCTTGTAGGCTGGTGGCCAGCAGCCCAGAGTGGACTGCCTGGCTCTCCCATGGACGGCTGTGGGAGCCTGGCAGGTGACTTCATCTCCATGGCCTGAGTTTCCTCAGCTGCAGATGAGGATACTAACAATACTGCGCATTCGGGTTGTTGTGAGCATCCCACAAGGGGACCGAGAAGAGCACCAAGTGTCTGGCCCCTGGCGCATGTGCAGTGGTGGCTGCTCCTGGGTTGCTGTGGTTTAGTGTGCGGGGCGTTGGCCTCCCTCCATGAGGCAGCTTTGACTCCTCTGTGCCATCCAGACACACAAAACTTGGTGATTTGAGTTGGAATCAGATACCCCAGCAGCATGCTCTTTAGTAGCCCAGCAAGAACCTGGCCAGGCAGGTGCAGGGTGTGCCCTGTAACCACTGCCTGGCTCCTGGGGTTAACTCATTCCCAGCCACTTTTCTCACTCACCGGTTGGAAGCTCCCGAGAGCAAGGCCAGCAAGACTGGAAATGACTTCCTGAACTATCAATAGAAAGCAGTGGCCAGTGCCAAGCCCTGAGGTGCCTGTTCCCTTCCCCAGAATAAAGTCTGGCCCTCGACAGAGGCAACTTAGGGAGCGGGCAGGGAACCCCTCCCAGACTGTCAAGATGATCCGGGGGCACCAGTTAGCCACCTTCAAGAGGGGAAGCTTCCATAATGGAGCACAGCTATGGCTCGTTCTTGTCGATAGAATAAAAGCTGCATGCAAGGCCCAGGCGGCGCCAGGCCTGGTGCTGGCCCCATGGGGCCTGACCCTACCATGTGCTGGGCAGTTGTATGTGAGCTGGCACTCATGTTTCTTGCCCCCAAAGAGGTCTCATTGAGGACTTTAATTCCAGGAGGCTCCATACCACTGAAAAGATGCCTCACGGGGATTTGAGATGAATTTTACAGTTTCTCTTAACACAGTGGTTTTATGGCATATAGGACCCCAGGGAGACTTCCCTAAAGCTCTGAGAATAAGGTGTTTTCCCCCAGTCAGATGGCAGAGGGGATTTTGCTTAGCTGCTCGGGGTTACTGAGCTGTCATCAGAGCGCCATGGACCACACGGCACTCGGAGCTGCATCTGAAGGAGGAGCCCTGAAGGCCACCGGGACAGTCCCTGCCCCTGACGACTGAAAATGAACAGCCCTTTTTTTCCTTGGCATCTGCCAGCAGGAACAATGGCCACACTTGGCTGGGGTCACGGCCCATGGTGACCTTGACTGCTGGACTGACTTCAGATCTTGACATTCTTCTGCAGGAAACATCCCTGCGTCTGTGGAGGATCCTTGGCCTCATACTTCTCGCTGAGCCTGCTCCTCTGCTCACTCTTGGCCACCCGCCAGGCACCCAGTCCCCGGTCTGTGTTTGGACAGGAAGGCAGCGGTTCTGCGGCAGAGTTACTCATGGGCCTTTCCCATTGCAGTACAGACTCCCTGGCTCCTGGCTCCGGGCCTCCTCTAGGTCATCAGCCCCCTCCTAGAGCAACGCCCCTTCCCACTTCCTACCTTATAGACCCTTTTCCCCTCCTTTCTCCTTCTCCCTCATGGCTCTGCATCTTCCCTTCTAGGCCCAGGCCAGCAGTCCCCGGGGCAGGTTTTAGCCGCTGCTGGTCTCCGGTCAGATTATAGATTTACCCACCAGGACACCCTGCACACTCACCACTGACTGCTTGGTCCTTTACTGCATGCATATGAGTTTCCACAACACCTACCGGGCACAGTTTACTAACTTGTAGGGAGCTCGTACCACTGCCTTTTCACTTCCTTGGGTTCCTTTGCGGCTGTGCTGCACCTGCTGTCATCTTAGTGGCTTAAAGTGTTTATTATCCTGTATAAAAATGGGCACTTTGTCTTCTGAATATAAATGTAATGTATGGGCACTTCTTATGTCATTGTACATCGGGGGCATCTACTCTCCCCCCCCCCCCCCCCCCTCCTCCCCCTACTGTCTGAAAGTTCCCTGTCTCAGTCCCCACCTTGGCTGTAACCACTTTGCCTATGACAGTCACAGCCAGCATTGCTACCCAGGAAAATGACAGTCATAGCCAGCATTGCTACCCAAGAAAATACAGCTCCAGGAAAACCCCAGCACTGGAGCCAGTCTTGAGCCCGCCACACTCCTGCTAATTATCCTGCTACCCAGCATGTTGGGCAAGAGTCCTGGGAGCCTCCCTCCATGGCCTCCAGAGTGTGACTCTCCCACTAGTGTTGGTTGGGTCTCTTATGATGGGGCCTCTTTCTGCATTAGTCCTGGGCTTTGAGTTCCTGCTCCCAGCTGGACCCCATAGAGCCACGGTGTGGGTGAACCGAGGCTCACCTGCCATTGCATGTCTCCCCGGAGTGCCCAGACCATGTCTGTCCTGCCCTTAGCCCCTGCTGTAGGTCTGTCATCCTGGGTTCCACCAGGCCCAGCCTCTCAACCTGGTGCTGGCTCCAGGGCCCCGGCCCAGCTTCTCCCCAGGCCGATCACGAGGTTCCCAGTATGCAAGTCCTGAGCCAGCCGAATGGGCTGGCCTGTGGAGGCCTTGCTGCCCTGCAGTCTCCACCCCTGCTGAATTGCCCCCAGACTCAGAGGATGGCCATATCCAGCCAGAGGGGTTCCTCTTCCCACTGCTCCCAGCCCGTGGCCAGGGCACATTTGTCCATCAGTCTCACACACAGCTAGCTCCTTCTCTTACTCTGGCCACAAACTAACTTTTCCTTTTATCCCCCAAAGATCAGTGAAAACTTCTCTGATGATAATGGCAGCAAACACTTCCTGAACTACGTGCGTTGAGTACCGTTCAAGCACCTTGCATGCATTGCCTCACATCCTTGGGAATCTGAACAGCTTTGTTCTACAAAGATAAGATTAAGAGATATGGCAAGAGAGCAACAAGCTGAGGCACCTGGGTACAGGCCCCACCTGTGTGACCACACTTTTCAGGAGCCACCATTTCTGGTTTCTAGGCACTTGGGCTTCCAAATGCTTACCCAGCTTTGACTCTCATATAAGTTTCTAGAATCTTCTTGCCATTTGTCTCCTTATTCTGGTTGTAACCCCCATGTCTTCTCTCCTGAGCCTTGCTATCTTCTCTGTTGCCTTCAGCCTGCCAGCAGAATGAAAGCTAAGGACTGCAGATTTGCAGGGGACTCTGCAAAAAGCATAATCCAGGTGCATGTTATTGAGAATTGACTGAAAATCTAACTACCATAGGGTCTTTTTTAAGGCCTACTTTCTGAGTCTTCTCCCCCATTTCTGGGCCCATCTTGTCAGCTCTGCTCTGTAGCCACCACTGCTGACCCAAGTCACAACTAAAAGATGCATCCTGCTGAAACCGGTTTGGCTCAGTGGATAGAGCATCAGCCTGCGGACATTGAAAGGTCCCGGGTTCGATTCCGGTCAAGGGCATGTACCTTGGTTGCATCCCCGGTGGGGGGTGTACAGGAGGCAGCTGATCGATGATTCTCTCTCATCGATGTTTCTGACTCTCTATCCCTCTCTCTTCCTCTCTGTAAAAAATCAATAAAATAAAATAGATAGATAGATAGATATAGATAGATATATATAGATATATATTTTTGTAAAGATGCATCCTGAGCCTCCCTCCCTGCCTTCTCTGCAGCCTGAGGTGACTTGGAATCTCTGCACCCACTATTACAGCTGCCCGAGAGCCAGCTTCTGCTTCAGCAAGTGCTGCAGGGGGTTGTCAGCAGAGTCACCTCCTGCGGATGGGTTAGTGGCCTTCTAGGCCACTTCTAGCTGCCTGACAGCCTCAGCCTCCCCTCACTCAGCCACATCCAGCAGCTGGGTTACAAAGAAGGGGAACTTGCTACTTAGAAGGGAGTCAGAACGAGCTGTCAGCAGGACATAAATATTCATAGAGGGAGGTTAGAACTTGAGTCCCTAAAACCTTGATTTGTGTTAGTCTGTTTAAGCCTCATTAAAAAGTAGTAAATGAAAGGGGATATTCAGTGGAACCGCAGAGAAATTGGGCTTGTTCAGATAAAGGCCTCTGACTGCCAGCTCCACAGGCCCTGCCCGGAGCGTAACGGCAGATTGGCTTGGCCACTTGTAGTTTGCCAACCTCAATTTAAAGATTTTGCTTAGCATGAGTTCCTGGCCTTGCTCCGGGCCAGTTAGCACTTGTTTGGACACCTGGTAGCCTTCTAGAAGCATTTAGAGATGGAAATCCTCAAACTTTTCCTTCCCAGAATGACATGCAAACCATGGTCTGGCCCAGGGGTGGCAGGGAGAAATCTAACCAAGGACTAGCACTGCACGGGGTGATCCACAAAAGCCGTATCTATGTGCATGATAGTTGCTTCTCCTAACTTCTTCCAGCTTCTATGGCACAGGTGGAGGCTTTCAGAGACCATTGCTACATGAGGCCTAAATCCGTCCTAGCTCCTGGGCCCAGCCATGCCCAACCCTACTCCATGGCTACAAAGACTGCAGTGGGCCAGGCCTGAGGTCAAAGGAGACAAATGGCCAAGATGCTTCTAGGGCAGGAGCTACAAAGTCAGCCCTGGGGGCCAAGCAACCACATACATGAGTGCAATGGGTCCATCTGGGCTAGACCTGAACCCCAAACTGCAAGTTTACACCCTCTGCCCTCAGGGCTCCCAGCGTTTGGGAAGAGGAGGTTTGGACACACAAAGTTGGAATGACATAGCACATACTCAGCCTCATGAGAGGACTAATTTGCTGGGGGCAGGAGGCAGTACCCCTCCAGCAGAGGCTCACGGAGGAGGTAGAGCTTTAAGAAGTAAGCTTTGTTTGGGACCCAGCATGGAATCTGGTGTTCTGGTTGGAGTTTCTACACAATGGAATGGAAACGGCAAATCTCGGCGTCCTGAGGGGCTGGGCTCTGTGTTGGGGGTGCTGCTACAAGACTGGGCCTCATGGCTGCCTGAAGAAGTACCCGCTTTCCTCAGCCCCAGCTCTGGTTCCACAGACCATCACACCAGGCATGGCTGTTCTGGAGCCTGGCTCCCCAGAGCTCATCTCCCTACAGGGCTTATTCTAGGATGGCCTTTGGCCTCCCCAGGCACAGGCCCTGTCTCCTGGTTGGGGCTGTTTCCCAGGACAACCGTCCCTTTGGTGCCCATTAGCAGAGAAATGACACAATTAACCAGGCAATTAACTCAACACTATGCAGTTGCTCCCTCCCACAGGGCCCTGTTTCCGGAAGCAGAGTTGGCAGCATGCTGGTTGCAGGGAAGGGATAGATGGTGCATCATCTGTGCCCGGCACTGGGATGAGGGAACTGCTGACCCAGGATGGGTGCTGGCCAGGGAGAGGGGCAGAAGGCCTAGGGACTTCAAGTGCAACTCCCACACTGGCCCAGACCACCTGCCTGGGAGTTGGATTCGTATTTGTGGTTCATTGGTTCCCGCTCCTTCAGGGGCCATTCAAAGGGACTGGAGCAGAGAATTGCCTAAGACCGCTAAGGAAGGAATTCTCCTCAGAGAATTCTGTTTGGGGCCCTTTCTCCCATTTGGAAATAGAGGTCATAGTTGCTATCCTTCCCAGGGACGTGGTGAGAATGAGTTAAGTCAGATGGGAAACTGAGCCTTACCGGGCCCTCGGAGCCTTCCCATCTAGGCTCCTGCCAGCACGGCAGGGGTTCAAGAAGAGCAAGCCAGTCCCAGGCCCAGAGGTGGCCATTTACATCTGGGGATGGACACAGATGAACTTTCAAGGCCAAATGCATGATACCAGGACCCAGTGTTTATTTTATCAAGTATACATCTCTGAAATTATAACCAAAACAAAAAGGAAAACTGATAACTTTGGCAACCAACCTTTCAGAAGCAATTTTGCCCCACAGGTTACAGCTACCTTGATTATGGGCAATACTTTGCCTCAAGAACCCAATCAGAAAGAAATAGGAGTGTTTTTAAGCTGCATTTTTAAAAAAATATATTTTATTGATTTTTTAATTTTTTTTATTTTTTACAGAGAGGAAGGGAGAGAGAGAGCTAGAAACGTCGATGAGAGAGAAACATCGACCAGATGCCTCTTACACACCCCCTACTGGGGATATGCCCACAACCAAGGTACATGCCCGTGACCGGAATCCATCCCGGGACCTTTCAGTCCCCAAGCCGACGCTCTATCCATTGAGCCAAACCAGTTTTGGCTAAGCTGCATTTTTTTTACACTTGATATTTTCTATTGGTTCTCATGGGAAAATATATATTCTCATGGGAAAATATATAAAATATAGCCTAGTTTAAGATTAGTGGGAGAATACCTCTGTGTTCTGCCCCTAGGTTCCTTCCACCCATCCCTCACGTTTCCTTCCAGGATGCCCTTGCGTGGCTGGTCTGCCATGTTCAGGGCAGCTGTGAGGCCCTGAGCAACACCCCCGCCATTTCCAGTGGGGCTCAGGCTGTACCACATGGAGGCCAAGGACAGCACAATAGAAACGTTAGGGATGACAGCCTTCCTCCCCCCCGCCCCAGACCCTGCCTATTTGGAAGTGAAAGGCTCTGCTGCCCTCTCCAGCGGCTGGTGTGCTGTGTTTCAGATCGATGGGCTGGAGGAGAAGCTGTTGCAATGTCAGAGGGACCTGGAGGCTGTGAACTCCAGGCTCGATGGGGCGGAGCTGAGCCCAGAAGCCAGGTAATGCTCCTGCCCCACCTCCCGCCCTTCTTCAGCCCCTCATATCTAACCTGGGCCCTGGCCTCCACCTGCCACAGAGGCCAAGCCTTTGTCCAACTTGCCCTGGAATGCCAGCTGCCCCTCGGGTGGGAAGGAAAAGGGCTTGAGCCACAAAACTCTCCCCCCCTCACAGGAAGTCTCTGGAGAAGGAGAGAAACAGCCTGATGAGTAGAGCCTCCAACTATGGTAAGAAAGTTCCCTTTCGTCACCAGCCCCGCCCTCCAGTCCCAGGGTCCAGAGACACAGACAGCCCAGGAGCCCACCAGGTGACAGGGATCCAGAGGGGGCAGCCCCCAGGAGGCTATAGGAACCACTGTAAGCCCAGCAGCTGGAAGAGCAGTCTGCTCCTTTGTTCCAAGGGAGATAAAGAGGACTGTGGGTCTGTTCTTCCTGGGACAAAGGGGTACGACGGTAGCCAGGCCCAGAAGATTCTCACATCCACCCAACTTGGGAGGGCTGTTCTCCTTGTCCCTCTCCCCAACCTCCCTGCCCCCCCACCCCCACCCCTTCCCAGGAAAACCCTGTGATGGGAGTCGGGGCCTTGGGGACCATGAAGGAGGATGAACTTGGGAGCCCTGAAGGGTTACTGGAGTGGAGCAATGCTGCCACCTTCTGGGTGCTGGGGGCACAGTCAGGTAGAACCCTTGCAGGGCACTGAGCTAGAGGGCAGCTGCTGGGCCCACCACCACCCCTTCGACCACCCGCCCCTGCCTGCCGGGAGAAAGCTGATCTGCAGAGGCCCATCGAATGTATCTGTTCTATTCCCTGAGGGGCCAAACCTGGCCTAGAACCAGCCCAGAACAGTCCACGTGGCAGGGACCCTTCCAAAGGGACCGATTTTGAAGAAACACTTAAGTGTGTGCAGTGCATGTGCACACCCCTACCTGAGCCTGGGCTGTCTGGCCTGCCCAGAGCTCATCTGTACCATCTCCCCACTCTCTCACACAGGCAGAGGCGGGACATCAGTGCCCCCCACCCTAGCAATTTTCACACAAATCGCAGCATCCCCACTGAGACCGTGTGGCTGCAGAGTAGGACTGGCTTCTGCCAGAGGTGAGCCTGATGACCTCACGGCATGAAGTGCCTCCTCTTAATGTCCCTCATTTGTTGGCTGGGATCCAGCAGAGGGCACGAAGCCCACCCAGTGACAAGGGAGGACTCACCTGGTGACGCTATGCCACCATGTCACTGGCTTTTACGTGTGGCCTTTTGGTAACTCCTCACACACCCATCCTCAACTTCAACTGCATTTGGAGAGAAATGGTTGGTAGCATTGTGTTGGGACTTTTGGAGGCTGGGTGGGATCGGTAGCCAAAGGTTGCGAGGATCGAGGACAGAGTCCTTTTCGTGGATAAGGAAGTGGCTGGCAGGGAACACCTCGGTCCTCAGCAGTGTGTGTACCCACTTGTGGGAGTGGCAGTGGCAGCTGAGAATAGCAGATGGGCCTAACCTACCTGTCCAACACCATTTCCTCCAGAGAAGGAGCTCAAGCTGCTTCGGCAGGAGAACCGGAAGAACATGCTGCTCTCCGTGGCCATCTTCATCCTCCTATTCCTCCTCTACGCCTACTGGCCTATGTGAGCCTGAGATTTCTCCGGTCAACAGCCCGGCCACAGCCAAGCAGGCCCTTCAGGCCTCAAGAGGACCAAGGTACAGGGCCATTTCTGCCCCATCGGACACTGAGCAGGGCTTCCTGTTGCTCAGCCCCTCCTGCCTCAGCTCCTGGTCTCCAGGACTGCCGGCTCCTCCCTTATCCCAAGGGAGAGGCAATAAAGAACACCCAGGCTGCTGTGTGCTGAGTAAATGTCACGTCTGACTGCAGCTGGGGGCGGGGGCGGCACGCAGGAACCAAGAAGAGATGTTCAAGGCAAAGAAAGCTCTTGGCTTAGAACTCAGAAGGGAGACTGTAGGGAATAAGACAGCAGGCAGCCTCCCCAAGCCTGAACTACATGGAGACCGATTTCCAGGGCTTGGGTATCGTGCCTTCCACCCCCACCAAACACATTGTCGTGCCCTGCCTGCAGCTATGGCAGGAAAAGGTAGCCTATGCAGCGAGGGCAACTGGGGACTTAAAGTGGTCGCCTGGCAGTCCTACGGAGGCAAGGAGTTAATCCGTCTTCAAGAGGAAGGACAGGCTGGCGAGGTCTGGCGGAGTGAGTGGGCAACAAGAGCCATGGTAATGACCAGACTGACTTATGGTGACAGTGGGCAGTAAATCAGGCGGGTCTGCTGGGAAAAGCGGTAGAGGTGGGGCTGGCAGGCTGGTGAGGCAGGAGCCGCAAACACAGACATCACATGCAGCCTCTGAGCACATCGCCCAACCCTCCCGCCAGCACAGGGCCCGGGATGCTGTTGGGAGGCTAGAGCAAGGTAGACAGAACAGGGCAGCCAATAGGGTGAAGGGCTTAGGAGCGAGAGCACCCCAATTGGGTGAGTAAAACATGGAAAGGAGTTGCCCTGGGAGCTCGGGAGGACCGTGAGGCCAGGGCAAAGGAGCCAGGTGAAGTGCAGGCAGGCTCTCGAGGAAACCAGCAGTGATGCGACAGGAGAAGGAACTAGCCTGGACCGGAGGGGGAGGTGCCCTAGGCACCTGCGTGTCTCCCACTCCAAGCACAGCCCCCAGTGCAGGCACAGGAAGGAGGGATGCTGGCTGGGAGTCGGCAGAACCATCTCTCCTCCTCTGGCCTAGTGGTACTAATTGGTCTGACACCTCTGTTATTTTAGTCGCAGACTGATCCTGGATTGTCACAGTATCCCAGAGTGAGCTGTGTGATTTATGTGAGGGGGAAAAGCGCCTCCCTGCCCTGCTGGGCTGTAGGCTCATTCATCCTCCCATCCTGGCTTCCAACAGGAGCTGCATAATTTCCCGACTTCCTTGGGCCCCTCTCTGGCAGCAAGCAGCAGCTCTGGGAGCCCTGAGCTCTCTTCTCTCCTCTTCCTCCCGCACAGCTTTCCCTTCCCCTTCAGCCCAAGCTGTTTTATCCAAGCCAGTCCCAGACCAAACACCAGCCACAACCAGTAGCAGCCCTAGCACGGAGCCACACAGGCATTAAAAATATGTTTATCTTTAATGATCCAAGATTTTGCAAGACACACATATACCCAGAACTGGGTGGAAATACAACATTTTAGCAGTGCTGCTGCCAACCCGGGGGAGGGGGGAAAGCATGAGGGCTGGATGTTGGCTGGACACACCCCCACCACAAGGTGTAGCCAATTCCAACCTGACAGGGAGCCTCAGTGCCCTGTCTCCATGGAAACCGGTGTAGCACTGGGATGGGGCCCTGGGGAGCCTGTATGAGCATCTCTGGCAGGTATTTCCCATTAAAAACAACCCCCAGTGCCATCCCCACCCAAAGCTACTGCCCAGCTTCCTCTCTTCCCCCTCAGCCTACACCATAGAATGGCAGAAGTGACTGTACCCCCTCTGGGTAAGGAGGGGGAGGGTAGCAAGGTGGCTGTGGCAAACGAGGTACCCTCTTGCAGTGGGGACTGCTGCTGGGGCACAGAAAAAGGCAGGGCTTTGATGGTGCTTCCTTCCCTTCTAGAGCTGCCCAAGGTGTGGGTCAAAAGGGGGTGGGGCCCAGAAAGGCTCATCACCCCAGGAGGCAGCCACACCCACTACCAAAGACAGTGCCTCCTGCTTCCTGGTGTGGGGTCAGGGACGTGGGCCACACCTCCCTTCCCGGCCTGCGGGACTGTCAGAGGTCTAGGCTGAGAACTCCGGGGAAGACCAAGACAGGGTGAGGGAACAAGACAAGAAAATCTTCTCCAACTTGGCATCAAAACAGAGCAAGTTCAAAGAAACAAAACCTTGATTTGTACAGCAGGTACTCCTGGCCAGCTCCCAACAGGGGGCTCACCCACTAAGGGTTGGCCCAGTAAAAAGTTGGGCAAAGCTAGGGCATGGCGACCTTCAGGACAGTCACAAAACTCAGAAAAGTGAGTCTACAGGATACAGGGGAACAGCAAAGCCAAAGCCCTGTGCTCTGACTCATCCTCCGCAGCCCCGCGTGCCCGGGGCCTGACCGCACACCACGTGGGAGCAGCGTCTTTCAGGCCGAGTCCGGCAGGGGAGGCAGGTCTCCGGGGAGGGAAGTCTAAAAGATGTCCCAGAAGGAACATGTGAGTGTCCTCTGACGGCCCCTGACAGCTCTTCAGGGGAGATGGAGAGGAGACCATCCACCCCTCCTGGCCAGGCTGTGGTCCCCTGTCCTTCGAGAGGGGCCCAGGTAGGGCCCTCTAACTCTGAACAGCGGGGCCGTCAGTAGCAGTGGGCGTCCCTGGGCCCTCAGGCGCTGTGCGTCTGGATGAAGGTGAGGACTTCCTCCTTGGATAGCTTGTCCGGGTCCTGGGGCTTCTGGGAGTCATGTACACGGATGCCATCCCCCCATTCCCAGAAGAGCCGGCCATAGTAGCAGATGCTGGGGAGGAAGGAAGTCAGAGGGCTGTACCCAGAGATCAGGACCAAGAGATTACCACCCACCTCTGGCAACTGGTTTAGGGGATGAGTATTCTTAAGTGGAGAGGTCCCCACCCAGGACCCCAACCATCACAGCAAGTCCTGGCATCACTATCAATGATGCCACTTGAGGGTCTTCCCTCTGGCAGCCAAGACCCCAGAAGGCTCCCACTCCTCGCTTCCTAGGAAACCACCTTTTCCCAATGAAGAGCTGCTGCTGCTGTTTACATCCATCAGAATGGCTGTTGAAACCTATAATCAACAATCTGACAAATGGACACTGGGTCCTGACAAGGACATTTGGGACCTTGAGTTACTAGAGGCAGGGCTGCGGGCACTCGGCGTGTTCGCACCACCAGGACAGTGTCAGCCAGTTAGGGAAGCAGTGGCTGCTCCATGGGCCAGATGCCCTAAGTGGGATCCTTCCTGGAACCCAGGACCCCCCATCCAGCAGGTCCTGGGATTCCTCTCTGAGCTTACTGCCCAGACCCAGCCACTCCCTGGAGGGGCCGCCCTCCATAACCCTGTAGGGAGGAGTCTGGTCCTTGCTCAGGGGATCCCCTGCATGGGCAATTGATCCCAGAACCTGGCTAGCATCCTGGGAGGAGTGCAGGGGGCTGCTGAGGGACAGGTTACTTACTGAAATGGGGCAATGGCTTCTGCAGGGAGCTCATAGGTAGAGTCCTTGGTTTTCTTGTTGTAGAAGAACTTCCTCTTAGAGCTTTTGCTGAATCCCATCGTCCAGGGCTCTGAGGAGGAAGAGGAAGAGCCCAGGAAGGGCACAGTAACCCAGGCAAATAGGGCAAGCCAACTCAGAGTGTGCCCGCCTTCACTCTGTTCTTCCTTCCCTCCAAAGTGCAGGCAGGGAACAGCCTATGAGGATGCAGCCTTCGTCTCCAGCCCAAAGGGCTTCAGAGGAGGACTGAGACTTAACAGCCCCACCTAGGCCTGCTAACCTGCGCCAGGCAACATCTGTGGGACCCCGGCAGAGGGCCCTGAAGGGGGTTCTACAGGGCACGCAAATGGCCAAGCCGGACTTTCTGGATCTGCTGCGGCCCTCTGAGAACACCCTCTTCCTGCTGTGAGGACACCACGTGAATATCCGAGTTGGGCTCCTCTCTTTCCAGCCCAAACCTAACCCCCAGGACCCACTGCAGGACAGAAGAGGCTCAGGGCACACAATCTTCCCCCAACCCCCCAATGCACCTCAAAGAAATGCCAGCCTGGATGCTACCCACATTCGTAGGGAACCCCTAGCTCTGGTGTAGGCAGGATCTGGGCCAATCACCCTGAGGGAGGCAGGGACAGGGAACAGTCGCTCATCACCCACCATTCACTGTCCTGACGATGTAGAGGCCAGTGGGCACAAAGTGCCGGTCGTCTCGCCCTGTATAGCTGAGCCTTGGGGTGCCGCTGGAGCCCTTGATGATCTTCATCTCCAACCTGGTTTCCCAAGCAGGCATGTGAGCAGGAAGTGGGGAGTGTGCATGAGAGAGAGGAAGCCCTAGCGATAGTCTCTTGCTATCATCAAAATCACACCAACCACAATAGTTCATCTCAGTTCAACCAGGAAACTGAGGCAGAGACATGAGTGAACTGCCCCAAGCCCCACCACAGGTGAGTCCAGTGCTGGGTTCAGAGCTCAGGCTTAGGCACTGAACTCCCAACTAAGCAAAGGCAGGTGGGAGTGACAGACGCCCTGATAGACTGCAGTTGTTGAGGAGTTTCAGGGTGACACCAGTAAGGATAAGCTCTGACACCATGGTTACCACTGCGTCCACTGACTACCACCCATAGCTTCCCTGTGATCACTGTGGCCAGTGAAGAGTTAACACGAGGGCACCGAGCCGAGGGAGGACAGACAGGCGCACACCCAGGAAGAGACCCACAGGTCTGAGCCTGCAACTAAAAGAATCCAAGGAAGCAGTTATGGCCGCTCCCCTCCAGGCTCAGTCTCTCTGTCAGCACCAGGAGCTGGGATTTATGGTGTTTCAAGCAGCTTGCTGCTCTGCCCTCACAGGGACAATCGTAACTATTACAGCATCAATGAGCCCGTATTTCTGCCTGACACACACCCGCGGCTCCCCTCCTGACAGGGTGCTGAATCAGCTCTCAGCCGGGCTCCTGGCTGCAGTGGAGCCACGCTGCCCGGAGGCAGGCGGACAGGCAGGGGTAAAGGCAGGCTGCCAGGGCCAACTCACCACCCACCCGATCCCCACAAAAGACAGCAAATCCTGGCCACTGCTATGCACCCACCTCAATCCTCAAATCCTGAACCACCCTGGTTGAAGCACTCACCTGACAAAAATCTTCTCCATTTCCTCCAGCCGGTACACCTCCTT